TGACAGGGTGGATAGGGGGGCAATGTGGCAGATGTTGCAGGTGTATGGTGTAGGAGGTAGGTTACTGACAGCAGTGAAGAGTTTTTACGAGGATAGTGAGGCTCAAGTTAGAGTATGTATGAAAGAGAGAAATTATTTCCCAGTAAAAGTAGGCCTTAGACAAGGATGTGTGATGTCACCGTGGTTGTTTAATATATTTATAGATGGGGTTGTAAGAGAAGTAAATGCAAGGGTCTTGGCAAGAGGCGTGGAGTTAAAAGATAAAGAATCACACATAAAGTGGGAGTTGTCACAGTTGCTCTTTGCTGATGACACTGTGCTCTTGGGAGATTCTGAAGAGAAGTTGCAGAGATTGGTGGATGAATTTGGTAGGGTGTGCAAAAGAAGAAAATTAAAAGTGAATACAGGAAAGAGTAAGGTTATGAGGATAACAAAAAGATTAGGTGATGAAAGATTGAATATCAGATTGGAGGGAGAGAGTGGAGGAGGTGAATGTATTCAGATATTTGGGAGTGGACGTGTCAGCGGATGGGTCTATGAAAGATGAGGTGACTCATAGAATTGATTAGGGGAAAAGGGTGAGCGGTGCACTTAAGAGTCTGTGGAGACAAAAAACTTTGTCCTTGGAGGCAAAGAGGGGAATGTATGAGAGTATAGTTTTACCAACACTCCTGTATGGGTGTGAAGCATGGGTGATGAATGTTGCAGCGAGGAGAAGGCTGGAGGAAGTGGAGATGTCATGTCTGAGGGCAATGTGTGGTGTGAATATAATGCAGAGAATTCGTAGTTTGGAAGTTAGGAGGAGGTGCAGGATTACCAAAACTGTTGTCCAGAGGGCTGAGGAAGGGTTGTTGAGGTGGTTCGGACATGTAGAGAGAATGGAGCAAAACAGTGACTTCAAGAGTGTATCAGTCTGTAGTGGAAGGAAGGCGGGGTAGGGGTCGGCCTAGGAAAGGTTGGAGGGAGGGGGTAAAGGAGGTTTTGTGTGCAAGGGGCTTGGACTTCCAGCAGGCATGCGTGAGCGTGTTTGATAGAAGTGAATGGAGACAAATGGTTTTTAATACTTGACGTGCTGTTGGAGTGTGAGCAAAGTAACATTTATGAAGGGGTTCAGGGAAACCGGCAGGCCAGACTTGAGTCCTGGAGATGGGAAGTACAGTGCCTGCACTCTGAAAGAGGGGTGTTAGTGTTGCAGCTTAAAAACTGTAGTGTAAAGCACCCTTCTGGCAAGACAGTGATGGAGTGAATGATGGTGAAAGTTTTTCTTTTTCAGGCCACCCTGCCTTGGTGGGAATCGGCCAGTGTGATAATAAATAAAAAAAAATATTAATAATTTTCTAAAAAAGACCCAATACCACTATAACAAGCACTGCCCTAAAAAAAACTAAACAGATGACAGCTAAGAGACTGAACAGTCCCTGGCTAACACCCAGTATCCTCAAATCCATAAATACAAAGCACCTATATGAAAAACAGTACAGAATGGGTCACATAACCAGAGACCAAACAAAACGTTATTCGTTAGTGCTAACCAGCCTGATAAGAAGGGCAAAAAAATTGTATTATGAGAACAGATTATCCAACTTAAAAGGTGATATAAAAAAGATTGGAAAACCCTATCAGAAATTCTAGGACAAAAAAGATATCACGAAACAGCGCAATTGAACTAACAAAACCAGATGAACCCCAATTCCCACCAACTGAAACAGCAAACAGACTCAATGATTTCTTCTCCAACATAGGAAAAAACCTTGCCAATAAAATCCCAAGCTCAAATACCCCACCCAATGACTACCTCACTGGCAACTACCCGAACACACTGTTCCTAGCTCCAACTAACCCAACAGAGGTCTCCCTTATTATCAACACACTAGAAAACAAGACAGGAGATTTAAATACCTTACCACCCTTTATATACAAAAAAGCGTCGCAAGTGTTGTCACCAATCATTGCAGCACTCTTTAACAAATCCATCAAATCCTCTACCTTCCCTACAGTTCTCAAAATAGCGAGGGTCACCCTGATCCATAAAAGAGGAGACCAAACAGACTTGAATAACTATAGGCCAATATCCAACTTACACCCTCTCTCTAAAATCCTCGAAAAATTAATTCATAAGCTAATCTATTCCTATCTCATCTCCCACAACATACTCAACCCCTGTCAGTTTGGGTTCAGGCCTAATAAAAATACGAATGATGCTATTATACACATGCTAGAACAAATATACACTGCACTAGAGAAAAAAGAAGTCCCACTGGGAATCTTCACGACTTGCTCCATATAAAATTGTCGCACTATGGTATTAGAGGGCACTCCTTTAACTACCTAAAGTCATACCTCAGCAACAGAAGCCAATATGTGTACACAAATGGATCAAACTCTTCCGCACAGCCAATTACAGTTGGTGTCCCACAGGGAAGTGTCCTTGGCCCTCTTCTCTTTCTCGTTTACATAAATGACCTACCAAATGCATAGCAACTACTCAAACTCACACTATCTGCAGATGATACTACATACGTCTTCTCTCACCCGAGCCCAGTCATGCTAGCCAATACTGAATTACAGAAAATATCTACCTGGATGATGACTAACGAACTTACTCTCAACATTGACAAAACCTATTTCATTCAGTTTGGTAACAGAGCTACAGATGTCCCTCTTAACATAATGATAAATGGATCTCCTGTCACAAAGCTCACAGAGGGAAAATTCTAAGGAATCCACCTTGATAATAGACTCAAATTTCAAACACATATACAACAAATTTCCAAGAAAATTTCCAAGACTGTAGGCATACTATCGAGCATACGGTACTATGTTCCACGGTCAGCCCTCCTGGCCCTATATTACTCACTTATTTACCCCTATCTCACCTATGGAATTTGTGCATGGGGCTCAACAACAATAAACCATCTCAGACCATTAATTGCCCAACAAAAGGCTGCAGTCAGAATGATAACAAATTCCCACTACAGGCAGCACACTCCACCAATATTCAAAACTCTAAACCTACTCACCATACAAAACATCCATACTTATTATTGTACCTACTACATACATAGAACACTTAACTCGGATATAAACCCTCCCATCAAACATCTCCTTACCAACCTCAACAGAACACATGACCATAACACAAGGCACAGATCACTCTTTGATATTCCTCGTGTCCATCTCACACTATGAAAAAACTCAATGCACATAAAAGGCCCAAAAATCTGGAATTTATTACCTGTGAATATAAAAGAAACACTGTTTATAAATTCAAGTCTCTTCTTAAAAATCACTTACTCACCCACAACTAAATAAATACTGAATAATTGTATCTCATAAATGTTTAACCTGCGACCCAATCAAATTTTGTTATTTTTAATTACATTACCTAACAGAATACTCCATTCTACTGAATGCACAGCAACACAGTAAATGACCATATGACCTGTCATTGAAATACTCATTTGTGCTTAATTGTTAACTGTTTACAGCAATGTTTACCACTGAATATATCATTGCTTAGTTAATCTTAAGTTAATTTTAAGCCTGCCCATAATGCTCTGCATACAAGGGGCTTTGGCATGTTACACTTAACCACTGTATTTCCTTGTACTTCTATGTATCATGTTCAAATTAACAAATAAATAAATGAGAGCTGCTCAGTCGCTTGTGGGCAGCTGTGAAAAGTGGAGGTGCATGCTCCAGTGACTTTTGGCACTCGGTGTTCATAGAGTTTTACAGAAAATGGAATTTCTCTTTTTCTCAGGAATAAGTTATTGACCTTTCGACATGCTTTTTACAAAAACTAGTTAACAGCATGTCATGATTTTAATACACATTACTGAGGAATGATGGTTCTACACCATAGTAATGGGGATTTGCAATAATCCTTACCTATTTTTTTTACTGGTTTTCCCCCCAAAAATCATTAAAAAATAAAAAAACAAAATTCAACATTTTTTAAAAGACAAGATATTGCCACAATAATAAAAGCCCATTGCTACACAACTATTGTGGCCTTTATCTTGCATGTGAGGTCAACTAGAAAACTGTCTATCAACCCAGTTTTGCATTAGGCGTATGGAAAAATACCCCATAAAACAGCCAATAATTATTTTTTCTCTCTATTTGTCAAGGTAATCTTCATAATAACAACAGTGTGCAGGTTTCAAAAGCTGTTTAAATCACGGTAAAATTTTCATTGAAATTGGATAATTAGAAGAAAAAATCTGTATTTCTTCCCCCCCCCACCTTAGGCTTGTTTCTTTTCTGTTATGTAAACAGGGAACAATAGATGTTAGTAGGTACCTAAGATATTAGTTGACATGTGGGTTGTGGGTAAAGTGGTAATGCCTTTTGATTACAAATGAAGGACCAGGGTTCAAACCAACACGAGAGGAAACGTTATAAATGTTTTTTTTATAACTGTTACCCCTGTTCACCTAGAAATAAGCTGATACCTAGGTCACATCCTGGGAAGGAGAGCTAAAAGACCCCTAATGGAAATAAGCCATACTAGTCTTCGGGAACTTCTAAGTCTCGATCAAGTTAATATACAATGAAGTAAATGAGGAAGATACAGTAGGCCACCTGAGGACCTACCCCTCTCCTGGTAAACAGTGCATATTATTAGACAGGAAAATAAAGCTATTTTGGTAAGTTTTAGTTATGTTTCTTTTGGTACAAATTTAATACTTGAATTATTAAAAAAAAAGTTATTTCTATGGGAAAAGAATGAATAATGAAGTGATCCTACACACACATCACACAGGTCGTGTTTGTATGTTTGGATATGTACATACATTCTTCCTTTCGTAATACGAAATGAGAAACTGCAGTTGCTGGGGAACAGTCTATCAAAAGACTCTTAGTTAGTGGTGATGCGAATTTTAATGTTCTGGTGCTTGTGGCTGAGATGCCCATATATCACCACAACAAGAGCATTCCTGCCTCATCTGTTAGTCTGTTAGCGCTCGAGCCTCAATCAGATGATGACAACTCACCTGGGGATGGGATTGCTGCTGAAGTCTGCCACCTGCAGTGCCTTCAGGTTTTTGATGTTGTCGGGAATATCCGGAATGTCTGCAAAAAAGAATAAACATGTTACTCTAATGCATACAGCTGTACACAGACATAGTCAACCCTTACAACTACACAGGCGAGTACATACATACGTATGCGCACACACACACACACACACACACACACTCACGCCAAAATAAACAAAGTTTTATCTAAGTAAGAGTTACCCGCATTTAAATTTTAATCCTTTCAGGCTCGACAGGCCCTCTCCCAGACCTGTTCTCAGGGTCGAAAAATATTAAAAAAAAAAAAAAAAATATTTTTTCTTATGAATAGATAGATTTTTTTTTTCTAAACTTTATAGGCTAAAAAACTGTTTTTGCCATCAATACTTACCGAGATATGGAGGCATGAAGTTGACAAACTGAACCGCATATAGCAACATCGCTGACTGCTGGTCACCCGGAAATAGTTTATTTTGTTTTTTCTACTTTTTTCTATTATTTTTTAATATTTTTTCTTTTCAAGTAACTTTTATGGCCTGTGAGACCAATATGAGCACTATTTTGTAAATATTTACTCTTTCTATACTACACAATAACTGCACAAACACTGTTGTCATTATATTGTTCACAAAACTTGTTTACACAAATGAACAATATAAAATGTTGTTTATTACTATTTTTCTATATTTTATATACAAATATACAGTCACAGGACATGTTTCTAGAAGTTCTGCAGCCTGTGGAAGTCTTTGAAACGGTGTCATGCACAGTGGTGTTTTACACTCCTCACACATAAAACAAGTGTCTCTGCATTGTTGTGGGAGTTTTTTATATGTGCACAGATGCAACACCTCTTCTGAGCCTTTTTCTTGAAAGCAGTAGCAGGAAGTTTCATTAGGAAGTGATCACCAGCCCTCAGACGAGAAGGTAGTTGTTGATAATTTATTGGACGGTTTTCTAATGGTGTCGTTCCTTGGTACTTGAATATTACTTGTCTGATGACAGACAAGCAAAATTTGCCATATGGTGGTTTGTTTCTGGTCCTCATCTTATACATATTATAAGCACTGAGCATGGAAATGTACACAATATGGAAAAAGAGTTTTATGTACCACTTATAACTCTTGCGAACGTAATCAGCAAACCCAATCTGCTTGTCACATTTGTCCAATGAATGCATATTGAAGGTGTAGTCCATCACAGCTGCAAGTTTTAGAATGGGTTCATTGGTCTCTCTATTCTGCCTGCCAGTGTTTGTCATTTCATTAGCGTAAACTAACGACAACAGTGTGACATCTCATTTGTCATGCCACCGAAATGCCATAATGTCATTGGCAGCAAAAGCCTGCACCTCACCTCTACGAGTGCCAGCGTCAAACTTGGGCACATGCTTACAATTTCCACGCACTGTGCCACACACATCTGTCATGTTCACTTGCAAAAAATCACTGAGTGAGGGGCTTGTGTACCAGGTATCAGTATATAACATATGCACTTTACCATCACTGTTCTAACCACATCACCAGAGATGCCCAATAACTTCCTGGTATTTTGCAATGTATTACTTCCAGTGTACACAATAATATCCAATACAACATCACTGTAGCAGTCACAACGCACAAACAACTTTATACCAAAGCATTTCCTCTTGCTTGGTATATACTGCTTGAACAACAGTCTTCCTTTGAACAGAATCAAGGACTCATCAATAACAAGCTTCCTGAAGGGCTAAAAATACATACTGAATTTCTGTTTCAGACACAAACACATTCCTAATCTTATATAACCTGTCGTTTCTGTCAGGCCTGGTTTTGTCTGAGAAGTGAAGCATACGTAATAGTAGCACAAATCGATTCACTCCTATTATATCACTGAAACCTGGGGTTGCAATCAGGTGGTCTGTTGACTAGTATGATTTGACACTGTGTTTATACATATGTGGCATAAGCATTATTGTGGCAAAGAAAAGATATATCTCAGCCACAGTTGTCTCCTTTCACTAGTGTAGGAGTGATTTTAGTGAAAGTATTGTGTTTGCCATAGTGTACTTGAAGTATCTGTTGCTTTCCCAGGGGTTCGTCAAAAGAATAACTCAAAACATTCTAGTTCAGTGGCATTGTTCCCAAGTGTACAAAGTGTACAAGATGGCCGTATTTCACTTTGACTTTCATCAAAGTGATGGGGATTGGGAACAAACTTACCAGTTTCCTGCCAATCCTAGGCATGGTCTGCTGGTGGGTACTGGATATTGACAGGTGGTTGTGGAGGTTGTGGTTGTGGAGGTTGTGGTTGTGGAGGTTGTGGTTGTGGAGGTTGTGGTTGTGGAGGTCGAGGTTGTGGTTGTGGAGGTCGTGGTTGTGGAGGTTGTGGTTGTGGAGGTTGTGGTTGTGGAGGTTGTGGTTGTGGAGGTTGTGGTTGTGGAGGTTGTGGTTGTGGAGGTTGTGGTTGTGGAGGTTGTGGTTGTGGAGGTTGTGGTTGTGGAGGCTGGTGTGGTGGGTGGGTGGGAGATGTTGGCCTTTGTTGCAGTTCAGCGGAGTCCCGGCGTGGGTGGCAGCAAGGCCCACTGTTGGTGCCTGACGGCTGGCACCACCACTACCACCACCACCAGATGCATGCACATTTTCCATCCCAATTGCAAAACTATCATGTTCATTTTCACTATCTGTTCCTGTTGTACAGCCACGGAATGTACTCCTTCCCCTTGGAATAGCACATGGCACACTACCAGAGTGCATATAGCGTCATATATACTGATGCCTGACTGGAGAATATTCAACTTTACTCTCGCTACTGAAACTGTTTTCAAGAGCTTGGAGTTCATATTCACTATCACTATCATCACCAGTGCTCACATCTGAGTCCTGGATATGGGAAAATAAGAATTTTCTCGTTCATTCTGGTACAACTGAACACGAACAAGATGGCCCAGCACCAGAGGTGGAAGGTTGAGGGTCGTCTGGATTTTCCTCACTATTACCGGTATTATGGTCATTAGTTTCAGTCACAACCTCATCAAAGCCTTGAAACTCACCTTCACTGACCCTTCAATCTGTATTAGAACTGTCACTGGGGAAGAAAAGTGTCCCAATTCGCCGAGGGGTGAGGAATTTCTTACCGCGAGGCATGGTGAACAAGGTGTACTAAAATGGCATTCCAACAATGCACCACTGGGTCCCCGAAGTTTTTCTACCGCGCACACTGACCACACAGACCCATTCTCTCACATCTAGGCCTACCAGCCTTTTCCCGCTTGATCTGAAGGCGCTAGAATTTATGCGTACTAGTAGGTCAATAACCCTGGTGCGTAAGACGTACTAGTATGTCGGAAACCCTGAAAGGGTTAAGTATGCATGTAAGTAAATAAAATTTATTAAATGAACATTATGTAGATTTAGCTTATGGTAACCCAATGAAGTCAAACTGTGTGATTGATTTCTCATCAAAAGAGATATTCTCCATTTATTTCACAGAAACCCATTTGATAAAAAAAAAATTGGCGCATTAAAAGTAAGACTTACATGACCTACAATCAAGGTAAAGGTGCCACTGAGGAAAACACATCAGCACTTAAAGTTTAAAGCTTACCAGAAGAGCCATTCTCCAGTTATGACACAAAATCCATCATACATTGCCTGCAAAATAAGATGATTGTGGATTCCTGATCCAGTTCCTTGGATCAGGAACCCCTCACCAGCATCATGGGAAAATAATATAATAATGTAAATAATGTTATGCCATTTTGAAATTAAAGAGGCAAAAAGGCCTCTATATGCTCTGTTAACGATACCAACTTTCTTCTAAGGAGGATACACGAATGTTGAACCTCTGAAGCCGGAAACAAAATCTGGGAATGACCTTTGTAACATTGTCCATAGGGTAACCACACAAGTAAATAGTCCTACAAAACTTGCCCTAGATATGTACAGTACACAAACTTTGAAAATCTGAAGTCGATCAAATTAAGTGTACTCATGCTGTAGAAACTAAAAATTTTGCTAAGAAATGTTCCAAGAATAGAAAAGTCTATCCTGTTAATTTTCTGTTTTCTTTTCTCATTAATTTTATATTTCAAATTCCCTACAATTCTTTAAGAAAAATATTTTATTTTTTTTTTTTTAGGAAATCCAATTTTATATACTAATTGGTTTTACAAAACAATAGCAAACTAGCATCAAAATCAATTCAAAAATACTTCCAATTAAGATACACCAGATTTTAAGGTTAGAAGCATATTAGATGAGGCATTCATTAGTTATTACATGTGAAAACATAATAAAATTGGTAAATTGAAATTCATATAGCTCTAAGTGAAGGTCAAGGGTTCTTTTAGTAAAGCCAACTGTGAATGTTCAAACTCAATCAGAAATGACATTCTCCAGTAACTGATCTGATTCCAACGATTCCAAGCATCTTTAACAATTTCAGCAAAATTTCAAATATGCAGCTACTCATACTAAACTTGTTTGGTTCCTTCCTTCTTACAGAATACATACTTCATTAATATTTTGAAGTCGACCAGAAAAAGCATCCTTCAGTTATTGAACATACATGAATTTCAATGTTAATAAAACTGGCACATTGGGACATATAATGCCCAGTAACAGCATTTGGGAAACCACAGAATTTTTTAACTACTATTTTACATCAACAAATTTGCCTCAATGCAAACAAAACTTAGTGGGTATTATCCTGACTACAAGATGCATCACCCATTGACGCTTTCAGGGTCGAGAGACACTCTCATAAACTTGTTCTCAGGGTTGAAAATTTTTCGGAAAAAAAAAAATTCTAATTAAATAATAAAATCTTTTCCCGATCATAATTACACCAAAAGTATGAAATTTCATGGAAAACTTATGGAATTATACTCTCACAAAGTTAGCAGTCTTGACGATGTTTATGCATCAACAAATTCGCCCACTTTGAGCCACTATGTACTAATCGGCAAAAATCCTAACTACTTCGCTAGAACTCCATTTTTTCTATCGAATGAGTACAAGAAACCACCCATTTTCCAATTTCAACTACCCAATATGATATAGCTGATACAGCTCT